GAAAACAAACCATGAATTCTAAAACGAGGCCAAATATTTCCAAGATACACAGGTGGGATCTTCGATCAACAATATAATTACCAGTAGTCAAGTAATAGTTGTTTTAGCTGCTTTACTTTATAGTACATCTACATGTAAGTACATGCAATGGCTTAACAGCATGCATGGAGGAATTTCTACTCATCTTATTCCCTGCAATTATTAATGTTTTAATCAAATCATTTCATGACTCTCCAGCCTTCATAGCATTTATTGTAATTTGTTTTAGTGGTGAGAAATTACTCATTCCATGTCAGGGAAAAGTCTCAATTTCAGGTATAACACATTATTATATTTGTTACATATCATCAGGTACCACTCTAGATACCTAGGTAGAGTATATTTTTAATTGGTTTGATGTCTTGTTTCTTTTAAGACATTCGTGTTCCTTTAATGTGGAATGAAGAAGAACATTTTAGAGCTAAAGAAAGCATTTCAGGTAATGAAATAAGATTCCTGGCACTGAGTGTTATTCTGACATGCATATTGAGATTAATATCTAGATGTATTATCTATTTTAGAGATTAGTCGAATATATCACGTGTTTTGCATTCTGAAACTTGGTGGGCAAGTTGCTGAGACAGGCTTAGTGGAAGTTGATCAGTCATCAACAGATGTAACACTTGATGATGTTGTTGCATTGTAAGTACATAAATCAATACTTGTATTGAACTTAGAAAGCATTGATGGCAGAATTTGTTTGTTTGCGCTTCGCTCCCCCAGCTTTTTATTCTTGCTTTACAACAAGTCGAAAATGCATCGCTGGCATAATATTTAAATATCTTAAATTACTTGACTATCACATGTAGGTTTGAGATATTGTCCTTGACCTTGTCTTACTTTTGTCTCCTTCCTAATAACTCACCTTTAATTCAGCAGTCCATAGTCGTGAGGCAAAGAAAAAATAACTGCATTGTTTATTTTCAGTGATAATGTGGATCCTGATTTCAAATTAAATATAGAGATTTACTACACAACAACATCAACCAATGATCTCCATTCTGGTCATAAGAAACATGTTCATAGAAGCAACTCTGATGGTAGCTATGGACCTAAGTATGTTTTAGCTGGTCATGCATCTCTTGGGGTTGATGATGTTGATGATTCAATTAAAATACATGATATTAAGAAAGGTAAATGTCATGATCTCATTAATTTGTGATAACTTTCCACAAATGACATTTTAAAATCAAACAACATGGTTTATTGTCTTAAAGTAAAGTCTAAGTATGAATCTCAACCAATATTCATTTCCAGGAGCAGTCGGTGCAAGTCCTACAGCATCAGCAGTAACAGCTGATGATTCACATACAGCTAACCTTCCATTGTGGAGTCAGTTTTGCTGTCGACTGGCTGCTGTTCCACAATCTAATGAATCCAATGTAACTGAAGGTGTTCTCTTCCTGCAGGTATAATGATTACATTCTTTAATAAAAACTGGAATGGATTTACTTAGCAGGTGCAAATTTGGATAACATTGGATATCCGACTTTTGGTGAATTTTTATACATAAAAAAATTAGTTCCCAATCATCTTAAAGGCTTTTTCATGCGATGTTATCTGAACTCATATTAGCAGCTGATTTATTGTCCATGAAAGAGTGTTGTCTGATAATAATTAATTATGTGATTGATTGTGATTTATATGATTTTCTGGTTAAGAGTATGACCCATCGCAAACCATCATGGACAAGATACTGGTGTCGGCTACGAAAAGCTGAAATGGAGTTCTGGGATTGTGGTGAAGATGCAAAAGAGGGCAAAGCAAAACATGTCATTAACTTAAACAAGGTCAGGTTGCCTAATTCTTGAACAACAACTTCATTAGCGATTAACAACTCTAAAACCTTGCAAGTTAGTAACTTCAAAATACTCATCTGTAAACATACTAGATGTTAGTATGAGATTTGTAGTTTGTAAAAGGCGTTTTTCCCTATCAATTGGCGTACTGCATGTTTTACCTGATTCGATTTCCATCTTCAATTTTGCGTTGTTTTGGTACAATAGGGGATGGAAGTGGATGTACATCTTCAAGGTAATTGTGAATATGATCACATCATAATACTCACGTGTTCAGACGATGAAAAAGAACCGGTATTTGCCTGTGAATGTGAGCAAGATTTCGTGAGATGGAAGAAAGATTTGCGCCAATCTTTGGTCGACCTTAGAGCCTGGAAACAAGCCTATGAATGTGACATAACTTTAACTGATCCAACACCAAAAAAATTGCCCGTGTTTTCAAGAATATCATTGTACGATCAGATTGATGTGGAGATAATGGTCGAAGATGATATTGATGAAGGTTGGTTAATCAATAATCATAGTTTTCGTCTTTATCAATGGTAGCTCTACACACATGAATTACGACAATGTCCTTGCGATTTCTCAATTGGTTTGAAGTAAAGAAGGTGTTAACTAGGGTATTTTCCCATGAAAGCATTTTCATTTATGTTTTCCGTCAACCCAGTTTGCTTATATTTCTCCATAGAACCTACAAAAGCCGAGTAAATGTTTTGTAAACATTGAAGGTGAGAGGTTTCTAGGCTTTCACGACTTGATCATACAATGATTCACAACCAAATTATAACATAATCGTCGTTAATTTTAATCAAACCAATCATGATCAACGAATTAATTAAATAATCAATTTCCAAATAAAAGTATCAATAAACAATGGATCATCAAAGAGATTACCGAGGTTTGTCGGCAGGTTTTTGCAAATCTGGTAGCGAGAGATTTCGATTGCTGCTAGCACTTACAATAAATGAAACTTTTAGCTGTGCATTTCTCTTTCTTGTGTAGACATCACTCGCTCGATTTTTGAACGTAACGTTAAAAAAAATGGTTCAACGAGTTCTGAATCTCCACGAAGCCGAAAATCTTCAGAACATTTGGACGAGGTTGAACGAAGATTAAGAGCAAGTTCTAAGGATTCCACGGACTCGCACCTTCAACTGTCGCCTAAATGCATTGAAGAAGTACATTATGAAACGACAATATAAGAAATAGGTGGAGTAACGATCTTTTAAACAATTATCATTCGTTCGCACTGAGATGTGATATCGCGTGATAAGTTTAATGAAAGCTACAGTAAGATCTCGGTAGATGCCACTCCTTTCTACAGAGAGGCAGATCGGCCTGTATACATTTGATTCAGATATTCAATTTTAGTAAGTTTTGATACCTTAAGGCCTTCTGGTTAGAGTGGCTCAAAATTTTTCTGTCTGCCAGGGGGTGTTTACTAAGAACAGGTAAAACTGCTTCACATTCCGCCGTGTAGCCTCTCTAACTTTTTTTGCTGTTTTAGCCTGTGATTAAAGATTGTGAATGGTATATTTGTTTTCATAGGAAGAAAGATACTATTTAGCTTTCAAGAAATACTTTTTCTCCTTTCATATATTGCTGAAATTAACCCAAATTTATTTTCCAAACCACATTCATTCACTCGTACTGAATTACGTACTTTTTGCATTAATTTGAACAAATTTGATTTGGTTCACTGATTTGTTTTGGGAAGAATTCGATTATTTTTTCTTTTACAAAATAAAGTCTCTATAACCAATAGGGTGTTATGAATTTAAAATTAGGCCGTGTAATTTATTCTGCACGCCCCAAAATCCGCCACTGGGAAAGGAGATTTTCTGTACTGCTGCTAAACCCTGGGCCACTGATATCAACTGCACTAATTTTCCTGGGGATACCATTGCTAGAAAACAAAATGTAAATAATATATTTCAGAACTATTTTATGCCAAGAGTGCAAGTGAAGAATTGTCAGTTTTCAGATTTAAAATATATTGGAACCAAAGATGATTTGGAGATTAATTTGGAGATGTATTTCTACTTTTTATTATATTAAGCGGCTCTTTTCGCAACTTTGCCTGTTTGCATCCCATGTTACTCATTCTTTGCAGTTTACATCCTATGTTACTCATCCTTTGCAGTTTGCATCCCATGTTACTCATTCTTTGCAGTTTACATCCTATGTTACTCATTCTTTGCAGTTTACATCCTATGTTACTCATTCTTTGCAGTTTACATCCTATGTCACTCATTCTTTGCAGTTTGCATCCCATGTCACTCATTCTTTGCAGTTTGCATCCCATGTTACTCATTCTTTGCAGTTTGCATCCCATGTTACTCATCCTTTGCAGTTTGCATCCCATGTTACTCATTCTTTGCAGTTTACATCCCATGTTACTCATTCTTTGCAGTTTACATCCCATGTTACTCATTCTTTGCAGTTTACATCCCATGTTACTCATTCTTTGCAGTTTACATCCTATGTTACTCATTCTTTGCAGTTTACATCCCATGTTACTCATTCTTTGCAGTTTACATCCCATGTTACTCATTCTTTGCAGTTTACATCCCATGTTACTCATTCTTTGCAGTTTACATCCTATGTTACTCATTCTTTGCAGTTTACATCCCATGTTACTCATTCTTTGCAGTTTACATCCCATGTTACTCATTCTTTGCAGTTTACATCCCATGTTACTCATTCTTTGCAGTTTACATCCTATGTTACTCATTCTTTGCAGTTTACATCCTATGTTACTCATTCTTTGCAGTTTGCATCCCATGTCACTCATTCTTTGCAGTTTGCATCCCATGTTACTCATTCTTTGCAGTTTGCATCCCATGTTACTCATCCTTTGCAGTTTGCATCCCATGTTACTCATTCTTTGCAGTTTACATCCCATGTTACTCATTCTTTGCAGTTTACATCCCATGTTACTCATTCATTCCCTGTCATCTACTGTCATCCTGTAATCTACCATTCCCTGTCACCTACTGTCATTACTATGGTTGGATATGTTAGGCTATGGAGCTAGTAAAATTAGTAACCACCGGGTTTGCGAATATCGAAAGATAAAAAAATGGTAAAAGAAAATTGCTACCATTTACCGAGAAAAAAAAGTTGTTATAGTTTTCGTTTGAAAAGATTAACGCCGGAAAAGCGAAGGCTTTTGTATCTAAGAGTAATAGCCATTAATCGCTTCACGGAGCTGAATTTTGCTAATTACTTGCCACGGACAATAGAAATATGTCCCGGATTCTTATTTAACTTCAAAGTCTTGAAAGGATAAGGTGAAACAAAAAACTCTAAGACCAAGTCTTTTGTTTACATTCCCTTCTGATGTGATCCTCTTTATAAAAACCTTCTGCATCAGTTCAGGAATGTAACTAAATTCTTTTGGTACAAGAACACGAACACGGCACCACTGTTGTGTACGCTTACTGAACTTCCGACCGTACCTAATAAAAAAAACAACTTTACAATTCCATACAATATGAGTACCATTACACTATAAGAATGCACAGGACCTGAAAAGTTGTTCACACTTAGGATGGGAGCACTAAGGCAAAAATTTCAATACCAGTACCTTTCTTTCCCATCAGCTGTAGTTGCTGGTGCTCGGCCTCTGTGGTGGTTAAAGTCCAAGGCAGCAAGCCGGTTTCTAGCTTGGTATACTGAGTATCTGAAGATACAACAAACATCAACATTTTTTTATTAACAATGCTTCCTTGCATGGAAATCAACCATGATAGGAGTTTTATTAGCTGTTACCTTTGTAATAATATGTCATATACTTACGAATAGGCATGGCGCTTTGGAGCATACATCAAAATTACATTATGAAAGGACTCTAAAAATCCTGTGTGCCTAAAAAATATTTCAAACTTTGAGATGATATAACTTATCTGAAATTTTCAAATATCCAATCTCATTTGTTACCTGAAGTTAACATAATACACCAAAGTGTTTAAAAAGTGAGTGTCCAGAATGATCTTTGCCAGTGCTTTATGGGCAGAAGACTCTTTCTTAAGCCATGGCTTCTTTCTCTCACTTTCATTAAGAGGATCATGTTCACATTTTCCACCATTTACACCTTCCTCCAACACCCACTCATGCTCATCAACAACATGGTGTAAAATACTAATCCACTTATCCTATTAAAAAAATATAAAAAATACAACATAAAGTGACTACATATTAACACATGGATGTACAGTTTGCACGAACTAGATAAGTATTGCTGCAAAAACCAGTAGTACTTCAATGTGAATCTTACTTTGAGATTTTTTGAGTCATTAGCACATGTTTTTGAACAATACCAAAAATGGTTCCTTATTGATGGTGCCCACAAGGTCAAATCTGCAAAAAACCAGTAGTACTTCAATGTGAATCTTACTTTGAGATTTTTTGAGTCATTAGCACATGTTTTTGAACAACACCAAAAATGGTTCCTTATTGATGGTGCCCACAAGGTCAAATCTGCATTGTCTTTAGATTTAGCAGCCTAAAGAATAAAATCAATTCTAAATAAAGAAAGTTATTTAACTAATTGCTGGTTGATATCTTCAACACTTACAGTAGTGATTTTCTTTGCAATGTTCTTTGCTCCATGCCACACATCATTCTGATGTGTGACCTCCTTATATTTCTCTTCCCTTTCTAAAATGCAATAATGCTTAATTAATAAACAAATGCATGTTGTAAATATTCCCTTACTGTCTTTTAAAGGGTAAACACAATTAATTATATAACATTGTAATCAATCTGCAAATGAAGTTGTTAAATTATTGAAAGTCTGACAATATTGATTATAACAGGTTGAACTATTAGAGTTTCAGGAATTGCCATATTGTTATAATGTAGATACTTACTCATCAATGCAGCAATTTCAATATGACCATCAGTTACCACCTCCTTCATAACTATTGGTGATGCAAGCAGTGTGTCCATCCCTCTTTCAAACCCAATCCTCTCCATATTATTGCTCTTACCAGCAGCTTCTCTCACATCAACCACATTCATTTGCAGTATGGCACGATCATTGGTATCAGCCAAGCTGTAAGTACAATATTGTGCACTATGGCCAGGCGAGTCATTCCTTCCATCACCACTCAATATAACCTCTTTGTTCTCTCTTTCTTTCCAACATTTCTGTTTGTGTTCTTCCCAGTAGTCATTAATGGCAGGGATGATGTACAACTTCTGATACTGATTGAATAATATTGATCAGAAATACTGCAGATTACAGAAGTTGAACATCAACCCCACCTTGGCGTAGGAATTGCCAGACAACAGCAAAGCAGAAGCAAGCACGAGGTTGCCTGCTCTAATCTTGTTGCAAGAGGGTTGAGCTGCCCATCTGCCTCCAACATGACCAGACCTACACCCCAGGATACGACCAGGCATGTTCCAACATATGTTTTCTTATAGCTCAACACACGGCCACATCCTTGTCGTTTACAAACACTCCCATGTAATGATGTTATCAAAGTTATAAGAGTGTCTGTAAACACAATACACTTTTCCTTCTGATTGCATCTTCAGGACTGACTTCTTCCACAGTAGAGATGTATTCTGGTTGAGTCGTCTTATGTTGCTGCTGTTGTTGTTGTTGGGTTCCAACATCTTCTGTGGGCTCATCTCCATCATGTCCACGGATTGTCACATTGAGCAAGTCATCCAGTAATGGCACGTCAAAACCCGGGGGACATACACTACAGTAAAATGGCAGTAAGATATTATTGGACGAAATATTTTATGCCATATTCAGTGATATATAATGTGTATATTTATGTTTTAAATCAATAAGCATTACAGTAGGAATGTCACAAAGATTATTATTGAGGTTTTGCATCATCACTTACTCAAGAGAATCGTCCGACAAAACCTGGTCTGCCTGGATAGTGTGTTCACCAAAATTGTCATTATCATCATCACTTTCATCATCAGAACTATCATCTTTGGCTGTCAATGTTCGACTGTCAGAAATCACACTCTGACCCGACCTGAGATATAAACACATATTGCGTATTTAAAAAGTAATACTCTCTGCGCGAAACTTTGCATGTATGGGTTTCAAATTATAAACTCAGTAATCACAATAAGTTTCAAATTACCTGATAGAATATGATGTTCTAACATCCGACAAAGCAGACAATGGACGCGGATTTGAGTGCGCGCTTGGCGTTGAGGTTTTAACTATAAAATATTTCATACGAATGTTTTATGCGAATATTTTAAAAAATGAAGTAAACAAATAACACACAAAAAAGGTCAGAGGTTTTATCATTTTATACTTACCAAACTATACGATTCATCGCAAGATAGCTGTCAAGAAGCATATCCGCCACATCCTTGTCTGTTCTCAATTTATGCTGCTCCTTAAACGCTCTCCATCGAGGAAAGAACCCAACAATACACTTTAGAGGCATCTCTACTAGCATAATATTCTTTTCTACTTCGACGACATGACTCAGTGCTCTTGAAAGATTGAGAATTTCTTTCTTAAATTGTCGGCTGGTCATGGTTTTTAGACTGAACAATCCCGGGGATTATCAACTTCGGGTGGAGTCCCCAGGCTGGCGCACGCGCAGAAGCCGTGTCTTTAAAACAGGCAAAAAAAATAAGAAATCTCAACCGCTCTTCACCGCAATTTCGGCTCTCTTCACCGCAATTTCCACCGCTTTTCACCGCAATTTCCACCGCTCTTCACCGCAATTTCCCGCTCTTCACCGCAATTTCCTTTCGCTTCTACGCATGTGCGAGCTTTGTTTATATTTTTCGTTTTGGTGTGAATCCATTTCATTTGCACAACATGAAGTATTCAAAAAACTAAATTAAAATGGCGGACGCATCAAGAGTGAAGAGTGGAGCTTTATAAAACCATTCAACAATTGTCTTTTAAAAGACAACCAAATAAATATTTTGAAAAACAACTACTGGAAGATATCCTGTAAGTTTGTCGATTTTATCTAAGTTTGAGATACTGTGTATAATTATTTTTACAGTGATTGTTGGATGATTATTAAATTTGGATAAAAGATTATACTCAGATAATGATTTTATTTATAAAATACCTTCGTACTCTGTTCTAATATTGCAGGATACAGATTATGAGCAAGATAATCATGCTTCCATGGTCAAAGTAGCTCTTCTGAGTGTGTTTCATCATCGACATCAATGCCATGTGGGTCAACATCACTGAATGAAACTGCTTCAATACGAAAGCTTACAAGTGAAGATATAGATAGGAGAGTATAACATCCCAACCTATACATTGTAGTTAAAATATAATAACAATATCAACCTCAAATTCAACTAATATTTTGTATGCAATCAAGCAAAATTTGGAAATGCTGGTTGTTAATTTACTGCAATTATTACACAAGATATGATTACACTCCTTTATCATTACCCAATCCTGTCAGAATTGCTATCACATGTGAATGCAATATAATTTTTGTACACAATCATTATTTAATTATTGTTTTTAAGAGGCCTTCTCCAGACAATATTTATTTCAAGCTATATGATATTTGCTCCAATATTTGGCTATATTTGTGAAAGATACAGTTGCAAGCTCATTATGATCTATTGCCTCGTTATCTGGTCCTTAACAACATTTCTTAGCACACTACTTAATAAACACCTATGTAAGCTTTTACTGATTTCATACAGTGAGTTAGAAGTCAGATATGTTAAAAACAGAAGGAAAATGGTAGGTTAATGAATAGTTTGGTATGTTCTTGGTTCAAAAGTATCTTCCGCATTTAGTGGTGGCAATAATTTTATAATAGAGAAAACACAGGGTATGTAAACATGTGAAATAAACATGTTATTACTTGATGTGTTTCAGGTAACTCCAATCTTGGATACTTATCTTATATCTGTTGTTTGAACCTGTCTAGGGGCAAATTGAAAAGAGTCAGGGTGATATTGTTGCAGACAAGGATGTTATCATTCGTCGTTCATGGTTGAATGATGCGAAACATATGTTACGCTGGTAGGTGATTTTTAACAACAGATGTTGCTTACTGCAGGATGAACTGTTTAGAACTGAAAGAATTATCCAGTGTAAATATGGTTAGTTTGTGTAGGTTTCCTGCTGTAGTAACGCTGAATCAATAAGAGATGATCCAGTATGCCATTCCTTGTTATGCCCTTGATCCTAGCTGTAGTGTTTTCGATTAATTTTGTAAATGATACAACTCAACTTCAGCCATTACAATACTCATTCTGAGGCACAATGTCAACACGTGTCGGTGCTGTTTGACCCGCTATGCATGCTGGGTCATACACTACATCTCTCCCCACTAATAAATGTTGTCCCTTTAATATCAATATTCAACTGTTAACGTTTGGTGTCCGAAAAGGTTCGCACCCTAGTTTAAACATATATGTATATATAGTGGTCTGTCCGGTCTAACTATCAAATCCTAGTCTAACCGGTTCTTGCCGAAGTCTGAGAAGATAACGTTGTTCCTGTGGTTCTACCTCATCCGCTTCTTGGTTTGGTTCAGGAGGATCTCCTTGCTCTTGTACGTCCAATGCTATTTCATCTTCCACCTCGTTTTCATTTTCCCCTCTCACAGCATCACTAGCAACTGCAGATTCCATCTCTTGGGTCTTGTTTCTGTTCTCTGAAGCACGTAACTGATCGATATGTCTCCTCCAGATAACATTTGGTGCGACCTCTACTTGATAAGACACCGGTCCAGTTCGAGCACGTACAATTCCTTGGATCCACTTTTCCTTCCCGCGGTAATTTCTGACACTCACTGCTTGTCCAATGAAAAGTTGACGTGCATTACTGGCGATAGCACCTTTAGGTTTGGCTTGACTGACTTGTTTATCTATGACGTGTTTTCTAATGTCTGGTTTGATCAAGTCTAAACGCGTGCGTAAGTTTCGTCCCATGAAGAGAGATGCTGGTGTCTCACCGGTAGTACTATGTGGCGTATTTCTGTATTTCATTAGGAATTTAGATAGCTTAGTCTGTGTGGAGCCTGGTTCTTCCTTCATTGACGTCAGCGATTGTTTTAAAGTTTGAATGAATCTTTCTGCTAATCCATTCGTTGCTGGATGATATGGTGCAGATGTTATGTGCTTAACTCCGTTTTTCTTTAAAAACAGCTGGAATTCTCCTGCAGTAAACTGCGGACCGTTGTCACTGACGAGTTGTTGTGGTATCCCGTTCCGAGCAAACACTGTTCGTAGAGCTTCAATTGTTTTGGGTGTCGTTGTATTAGAGTGCATGATAATCACCTCTGGCCATTTAGAATGAGCGTCCACGATCACTAAAAACATCTTTCCAAGGAAGGGTCCCGCAAAATCGATATGAATACGTTGCGAGGGGGTCGATGGCCATTCCCAGGGGTGTAGAGGCGCATGTTTGGGGGCATGCTGAGTCCGCTGACAACCACTGCAACCTTTCGTTAACATTTCAATCTCGACATCAATCCCTGGCCACCAGACGTAACTTCTCGCCAAGGCTTTCATTCTGACGACACCAACGTGAGTTTCGTGTAATGTTTGCAGTACCTCGCTTCGTAACTTCGTAGGAATAACAACTCTACCTCCCCACATAATGCATCCTTGGTGCACGGTCAGTTCGTTTCTCCGTGAATAAAATGGTGCGAGAGTGAGGTCTTTATTTTCGTGCCAACCTTTCATAACATGTTCATATACTTGGACCAGGGTCGAATCCCGTTGGGTTTCTTTACGTACATGCTGACAAGTGACAGGCAACATATTGAACTGTGATACGTGAAATGCCTCTACTGGGTCAACTGACTGATTTTTATCTTCCGTTGTAGCTAGGGGTAGACGGGATAATCCATCTGCATTACAATGTTTTGTCGAACTGCGGTATTCGATCTCGTAGTCAAATCCTGAAAGAAACAGCGCATACCGTTGCAGGCGGGCGGCCGTCATTGCTGGTATGGCTTTGGTTGGACTGAAAATTGCCGTGAGGGGTTTATGATCTGTTCGCAGAGTGAAGTGTCGTGCAAATATGTAAGTGTGGAATTTCTTCACCCCCATATTAATGCCAGTGCCTCCTTGTCAATCTGTGAATAATGTTTTTCCGTTTTTGTGAGCGACCTTAATGCATACGCTAGGGGTCTCTCCGTATTGTCGGGCATGACCTGTGTTAGGACTGCCCCTAGCCCATATGGGGAAGCATCGCATTCTAACTTGATAGAACGTTGAGGATCATAGTGTGCCAGGACTTCCTCCGATGCAATTAACTCCTTTGCTTTGAGAAACGCTTGCTCACATCCAGGGGTCCATTTCCATGGCTTGTCTTTCTCCAGCAGCTGATTTAGTGGTTGGAGTAAGTTGGAAAGGTTTGGAAGAAAATTGTGGTAATAGTTGATGAGACCAAAAAAGGAACGAACTTGGGAAACATTTTCAGGTCGTGGCGCATTTAGCACAGCATCCACTTTCTGCTGGGACTTGTGTAGACCCAGCTTGCTGATCTCATGACCACAAAACTCAATTCTTTCTTTGAAGAACTCACACTTGCTACTGTTGGCTCTCAACCCATGTTTGCTAAGTCGGCTAAGGACTTCTTCAAGGTTGGCAAGATGCTCTTGGTCAGTTGCACCAGAAATGATCATATCATCCAGAATGCATTTCACGTGGGAATTCCTTCCAATATTTCATCCATGGCTTGCTGCCAAATTGCAGGAGCAGAAGCCACACCAAATACAAGTCGGTTGTACTGGAATAGTCCTTTGTGTGTATTGATTGTTAGTAGTTTCTTTGATTCTTCTTCCATTTCCATTTGTAAATATGCTTGCCGTAGATCAATCTTGCTGAACTTTTGCCCCCCCTCAAGGGTGGCAAAAATATCATCAATTCTTGGAAGGGGGTATTGTTGGACTTGCAATACTGGATTGATAGTTTGCTTGAAATCGCCACACAGCCGGACGTTCCCATTCTTTTTTATTACAGGAACAACAGGAGTTGCCCATTCACTCCACTCGACTTTGGTCAAAATGTTGTCGTTTTGTAACTTGGTCAACTCTGCCTCAACTTTTGGTCGTAAAGCGTATGGCACTTGTCTAGCTTTACAGAACTTTAATTGGCTGTTTTCTCTCAATGTTAACTTTGCTTTGACTGTACTTAGGCGACCGATATCCCTCCAAAGACATCAGTAGACTTGTTAAGGATCTCTTGTACTCGGGTGAGTGGGTTTCTAGGTGGTGTGGCTGACAAGGCATTGATTGTTTTCCAATCTAGTGTGATCTTTTCAAGCCAGTCTCTGCCAAAGAGAGCAGGCCTTTGTATCAACAACATACAAATCTAGCTTCCGTTTCTCTTCCTTATACTGAACTTGGACATTCATGACCCCTTTGGGTTGGATCTTTTCACCAGTGTAAGTTTTGAGGAC